ACCCGTTTCTATGCCTCCTGTGGTGTTCTCTATGTAGAAGCCTGATTTTGCTTCTTAATTGCTAAGGAGTCTCGTCACCTGTATCTGCTTTAGGGAGAATAATTGTTTTGGGTGGCAAAATAATGCCTTCTCAATCCCGCAAATAGCCTCGTATACTCAAATAACAGCTTTCAGAACAGAGGCTATAAGGGTGTCTGCTGTTATAACAAGCAATTGCAGACAAAGATGCCACTCAAAGTGTGAATAACAACTTAAAATGTTCATAATGTGGATTCTTGCATATATGGATGCAAGTCTCAACGGTAGGGCAGAAATGTTATTAACAGTCCAAAGAGCCTGTCAGCTTACTAATTAAAACTATTTAAACCAAGAGTTACGAGGCATAGATAGTCTTCAAGGTATGACCACAACTGAGCCCAAGTTTCTGTTACATGTTAGTTATGAGTTTTGTCCCATTTTATGATCTTTCTTGCCACTGTTGTTAACTGAAACACCCAGTTTTTTTTAACTTAGTAGAACAATGGTTAAGCGAATCTGGCTTCTCCATTGACTTTGCTTGTCAGAAAGTTGCAAAAGATGATCACATGACCCCAGGACCACTGCAACCGTCATAAATTACATGCCAGTTGCCAAGTGCCCACATTTTCATCATTTGGCCATAGGGATGCTGCAACAGTTAAGTGTGAAAAAATGGTCACTTTTTCAGTGGTGTTTTACCTTTGAATGGTCACTAAATTAATGGTTATAAATTGAGGACTACCTTTATAACAGGGGTCTTCAAACTTGACAGCTTTAAGACTTGTGGATTTCAACTCCCAGAATTCCTCCTCCACTCATGTTAGCTCAGGAATTCTAGGAGTTGAAGTCCACAAGTCCTAAGCTTGCAAAGATTGAAGACCCTTGCTTTATAACTGTGAATATTAATATTTTCTGAATAATCTTCAGTTAAATAGGCAAAAATATTCAAACATTCCATTATAATATACACATAAGCAAAGTTGAAGTTCCAATCTAGATCTAAAAATAAATAAGCAGGTCATCCCTAGTTACCAAACATGGTATGTTAACATTTTAAAAAAATTCTGACATGCATTGCTACCCCTAGGGAGCGGGGACAGAAATTACAGATGTGATTCAAGTTGAAGAAGTTTAAACAACTTTCTGAAATAAAAAAAGTTTGCTTTACAAACCATAACTGGTTGATTATATACATTATGCTAAACCAAATAAACCACATTATGATTTAAAACAATTTGTGAAACAAATGTTAGTCCCTTTGGTTAGACAAAAGTTGAGGTGTTTGTTGGCAATGTACAGAAAATTAAAACAAAGTGTCTATGAACCAAGAGTAAACTCAGTTGCTGTCTTCTTTCTGGAGCTCAGTTTTGTCATGGATTTGGTTTGAAAGAGCACAACACTGAAAAGAACCATGTTTATTACAGGGATCCTTGGGCACCTGTTTACAAGAAAGAACTCAAAATAAGGGGAAAGCAAAGATTATTATTGAAGGTCAAGAGCTACAAGGTGGGAAATCCTAGAGCAGCGGTTGCCAACCAGTGGGCGGCGAGAAATCTCACCCCCAGAGCACCCCCAAAGCAATTAATTCAGGCTGCACAGAAACACAAGGCTGTGCCACCCACACAGCCCACAGGAACCCTCCCCGCCCACTCACTCCTTACCTGGCAAACTTGCCTGCTAAATTGCTATTTTTCCGACCATCAGCTGTGAAATTTAGATTAGCTAGGAAGTAGGAAATGGTTGGATTTCTTACTTTCTAGCTAGTCTTTAGATCTTCGGCTCTGCTTTTAAGCACAGCCAAACCTCCCTAAGGACTGAAGATTCTATTATTCAATGCAGACTCACGGCAAGCAAATTTTATGTGACAGACTGAGCTAGCCGATGGCAGATAGATAGATCACTGAATGATTCTGTGAGCAACTCAATCTGCCTGCCTGCTTTGCCTGATTTTGGGTAAAAATTGCTCTTTTTTATATAAAAAATTCAATATTTACATACATGGTATGTTGTGAGTTAATTTTGTGAGTTTGCTTGCTAGCAAATTTTATAGGACAAATTGAGCTAGCCGATGGCAGGTAGATATCTGAATAAATCTGTGATTCTGTGAGCAATTCAATCTGCCTGCCTGTTTTGTATGATTTTGGGTAAAAGTTGCTCTTTTTTAATAAAAAATTCAATATTTATATAAATATTTATAACATTTACATACAAGCCATGCCCAGCCAGTCACATGACCAAGCCACACCCACAAATTAGGCCATGGCCATAGAACCGGTTAGTGGTCCCTGGGATTTAAAATTATGAGTTTGGTGGTCCCTGAGGTCCAAGAGGTTGACGACCCCTGTCCTAGAGATCTGATTTGCTGGCCAATTTGGGGAGGTGAGTTCTATTGTTAAGACATAATGGACCTTCCAGGAGGACAGCAAAGCTGAGGAATATAGTTGTTAAGGAGATGGAATGCTGAGATTATCAACTAATAAAAAGATGGAAGCTTGGGGTTTCTCTAAGTTGCAGCTCCCTTGTTAGGGCTGCTCCTGGGCTACACTGTGAATTGGTGAGGAGGCTTCTATGCTTTGGTTTAGATGGGCTTATAGGGCGACTTTGTCTCAGGTTGGGCGGGGTGTCAATTTGAGATTAAGGAAAGAAATTAACTGGGTTTGACCCTGGTTGTGTCTAAAGTTCTAAGCAAATCTTTAAAATCCTTACAACAGAACAGCTAACAAATGAACCTTGTGTTCTCTTAAATGCTTTATGGTGACAGGTTTCAGCCTTTCAAGTATGGTTCCATTCTTAGGTCCTAAAATCTAAAGGGAAGTCTATACCTGACACCTGTCTCATCTACAGAAGTGGGGAGCAGCCAAATAGCCTGGACTTCTTTACTCTGGCAGGGATAAATCAGGGCAGCAAATTCAGCAACCCACCTCACAGGGCTGTTGCTATGGGGAAAATAGGAGGAAGAATATGTGTTGGATATGTTCACTGCCTTGAGTTATTTATGAAAATAATAAAGATGGGATGTAAAGAAATAAATTCTAAAAGATCCAGAATTAATAAGGAAAAGAGTATAACCACCTTTTCAGAATAAGGGATGACAATGTCATATTCCAGAGTGATCCTGACCAATGTTCTATTTGCCAAAAATATTGCTTAATTATTTTCATCTATTTCTTTCCTCCCTACCCAAATGCAAATAGATAATTTTTTTGGCTTTTGGCTGAAGGAAACCTCAAAGAAAGAAAATCCCAACACAAAAACCAAACAAATAGTAAAAGAGAGAATTAAGCTTTGCTTGACCACCCTAAGTCAAGGGTGTCCAACTTTGGGCAACTGTAAGACCCGTGGACTTCAACTCACATAATTCCTCAGCCGGCATGGTTGGTTGGGGAATTTGGGGAGTTGAAATCTATAGGTCTTAAAGTTGCCACAGCTGGACATACTTAACCTAAGTTTTGGCTTATTAGATTTGTATCCCAACTTTTTGTTTCAGGGTAATACATTAACACTCCCCATTCCACTTCTCCTCCATCATCATCCTAGGTAGACTGGGCAGAGACAAAGAGAGTGACTTGCTAAAATGATCCAGTGAGCTTCTATGTAACTATGAGTGGATCAGAAGTGCCTAGTGCCAGCCCAGCATCACATTGACTCTCATGCCTCTTAGTTTACTAAATAAACAACTGGCTAGAACACACTAAGCTAAAAGCCAAGAATGAAGATATGTGAACATAGCCAGAGTCCATGGGGAAATTGTTTAAATTAGCTCTCATCCCAAAGCCAACATTAAAAAAAAAATCTGGTGAGGTTAAAGCAAATAGTATAATATAAATTCATCAGGCTAAGCTCAAATGTTTTTTGGCAGGACAAATTGTGTGGACCCAACAATTGTGGTTTGTAGACGATGACTTAACTTGTTCGTGCAGACAGCCTTAGTAGAAAGAATGATTTAACAGGAATTACGAGAACTGAGCTCCCATGTTGCTAAGTCTCCCAACAAATTACCCTACAGTGCTAAATGTCACCATTTGCAAATGACATTTTAGACTACAGCACCCGGGTTCAAAAACTCCACCAACAGATGGCAAAAAGATATTAATTTTTTGTATCTTTCTGCCATCTAGTGGTCCAATGGGTTTTGCAGCCCGCCTCCCTCATGTATTAAACTTACCATTTAATAATTAAAGGGGGCAGACAGCAATTCTGTTAAGCACCCATTTTACAACATACTTGCTTAGAAGTGCCTAGTGTTGAACCTAACAGTCCAATATTTAAACGAATTCTCTCCGGGGCATTGGCTCTTTAGAAAGCACATCCAGATGTGTAGTAGCTATTTTTTGACACTAACACACCTCAGGAACTGACAGGAAAGGCTTGTAATGATTGTCCCTACTTTTCTTTGGGCTTCTTCCCGAATGAACTTATAAGGCTTTTCTGTTTATTGCCGGAGGGACGTTTCTCCGCTCCCTCCCTGCTTTTTGGAGGATGGCAAGGAAGCGGCAGGAACACGTGCTCACTACGAAGTGAACGAGCAAGGACACATCACCTCCGCCTTAAATATGCACCGAATAGCATCGTAAAGGCGAGGCTGTCGTATTAGTCTAACCAGAGCGTTGCAAAGGGTTGCATCGGTTATTCCGGCCTGGCCATCATTCCGCCGAACCAATTCAAGACCTCAATCCTAAACACGTGGCTTCCTAAGTATCTACTACGGCATCCAACAGGTAAGTCCCCTCTCTGCATCTCCAGCCTGAAGCCCCTCTGATATAAATAGCAGCACTCGGAGGTCGCGTTTTGCTCTTGCCGTGTCGATCACGCGGGCCAATGCCCTGAATTCAAAGAAAGTAGAAGTGATCCCCGAGACCGTAAAGCAGCTATTATTTTGCTATACTTTCACCACTTTGCCAAGCAGCTTCCGAAAGGAAGAAGGCGGACCCTGACGCCACGAATGGCTGTGCCGCCAAACCGACGCCCCTCCCTCCACGCCAGGGCCGTGGCTACAAGTAGCCGCTGGCTCCGGTTAGAATTTTTGAGGAAATTAGCCGTTTTCTTGTAGCCGTCCTTGGTGACGTCGCGTAGTTCTTATTCACTGGTTTGTCATTTGAAAGGACAAGCAAGCATATCCTGGGAAAGGTGGCTTTTGTGGAGGAGATAAGCGCTCTATTCCCTCATTTCCGTTCCTTTGGCTTTGCTGTTGCTTCTGTCGAGCGCTGTCGTCTTCTGGGGCGCGTATCGGCGGTAAGTTCCTAAAGCTGCCAGCAGATGGCGCATGTGTGCTTTTTGAGCGAAGATCCTTGAATAAGAGTCTGTTCGACCTTCGCCCCATTTAGCGTCCTTTAGTTGTATTACAACTAGCCAACAGTAATTAGCTTGGGGGTGGGAAATTGCTTATCTGGACCCTCTACAATGAAGAAAGCAGTTCCTAGTTTAGGAGAAGTTTGCCAATCCAATTTGGTTACTTCCCATAATTGATTGCTTATTGTACCCTATAACTATTATTAAGTGTTGTACCTTCTGATTCTTGACAAATGTATCTTTTATTTTATGTACACTGAGAGCATATGCACCAGGATGAATTCCTTGTGTGTCCAATCACACTTGGCCAATAAAGAATTCTGTCTGTCTGTCTGTCTGTCTATCTATCTATCTATCTATCTATCTATCTATCTATCCATCCATCCATCCATCCATCCATCCATCCATCCATCCATCCATCTATCTATCTATCCATCTATCCTAAATTGTAGCATTTTTGTATGTTGGGTTTCCTGGAAAGACTGACTCTTCGGATAGGTTTATTGGCAGTTTTTTAATAACGGTAAGAACTAGCTGCCTTCTTTTTCTGGGTAATCAGGACATCAAAATGGCCTTCTTGTAAACTTCCAAGAGTTGCGTTATAATGTCTGCATGGAACTATCTAAAGCAGGGGTGTCAAACTTGATTCCACAGAGGGTTGTGTTTGACCTTGGGAGCGGGCATGGCCAGGGTGGACGTGGCTAGCTTGACGTCACTTATGTCAGGGGGGACATCGGGGCTACCTGTGGCAACCCAAGCACTCTGCCAGTGAAAATGGGCTCCCGAGCTCCATTTTCAGCTGCAATAGCCCCTCTGCCCGTGAAAAAGGAGCTTGACAGGGCTGCATGCAGATCCAGCCCGCGGGCCTTGAATCTGACACCCCTGGTCTAAACATACAAGCTCCTATCCAGCCCTACACTTGTAGAATTTAAGTCACTTTTCAAAATAAACCGGTACAAGGCTTAGGTGTCTATTGATGCCACAAAGGAGACAAGAGTTTCAGTGTATTCTTTTGATAAATTCAGCTGAACTCACAACTGTAATTTGCACTGTAACTTTTTTTCAATTCTAGCACTGTAATGTATTGGTTACACATAGTACCCCAAAGTCAAAACTGGTAACAAAGGCATCTCTTCTGGAAGATATGATGTGGAAAAAAGTGTAACATGATACATATCTGAGAAAAGTATTTTCCTGATTTTAATGGTGCTTCCAAGCAAAATGTACTTAGGGTCAAAACCTAAAGCAAAGGTTTAAAGCTGGAATATATTTCAAGTTAGATTAACAGTTAATTCTGCTCCTTTTCAGGCCTGATTCAAATGTACCAACTAAGCCAAGGTTTATTTCAGTTATGGCTTACCAAATAAATCATGGTTGACTTATGCCATAAATCACAGGTTATCAAGCACTGTTGTTGGCTGGCAGTATTATACATGCAGTGATAAAATGCAAACTGTATTATATTTACATTATCAAGAAAGGCCGAAGATGATAGAAACAGCAGCTTGGTGTTTTGATCCTGTCTTGATAGAGTATTAATTACACCTAATTAATTAAGGCTCAGTTTAGAGATCAGAAATAATATTAAAATGTGGTTAATTGAAAATGGGAGTCCTATGGAGCTGTGTCTTTGAATCACAGCTGGTTTATATCAAGTAGCAAAAATATACAGTAGCCTTGAACTGTCAGTAGCTCTTCTCCTCATCACTTTAACTGATTTACTTAGCTGTAGGGAGAGGCCAAGGGGCAGATACAACTTTTCTTGTCAGCGTGGTTCTCCCTTCATATGCAGGAAAAGAAGGTGAGCAAACAGGAATGGTGAAGAAAAGTTAAACCAGCTTTTTACCAGGTTAAACCAGAAGAAAGTATAAACCAGCAGGCTTCAGCAAGTCCCAAACCTGGTCATTTTTGTGCCAACATTTTTGAGAATTCATAATGAATTTTGTGTGTTTGAAGAGTGACTTTTTCTTCTTGCCTTGATAACTTTGTAATCTTTTGTTAAAGAAAAGTACTCGTATTGAGAGAAGGCTGGCTTGAGCAAAGAGTTTGAAGATGGGAAATGAAGGTTTGGGAAAGATACCCTTGTAAGTGAGGTAGAATAACATTTATGCTGGAAAACTGGTGGAAGGAGAGGAGTCAGAGAGTTGGCTAGCTAGCCAATACAGTTCTCCCTTGTCTCCTAGTCTTTTCTCCAGGACTGCTGTTCTTGACTGAGCAACTTTTCTGGGTTTTTAAGGCTTGAATTCAAGGAATGGCATCATCCCAGTCACTAAATGTGAACCATCGCATGCAGCGTACAGCAACACTTTCTCGGCAAGTTCTGGAGCGAGCAAAAAAACGGAAATTGTACTGGTGCCATCCTTCTCATCACCAAAGTAGGACCTTTCGGGTAAGAGTTGGTTGGTTTTAACCAATAGGCCTTAGAGTTTGTACCAGGATTCCAGTTCTTTATCCTGCAGACAAAGGTTTTGGTTTGTTGGTTTGATTGATTGATATCTCACCTTTATTATTTTTTATAAACAACTCAAAGCAGCAATATAATATTCCATCCTCCTCCTATTTTCCCCACAACTGAGATGGGTTGGGCTGAGAGAGAGTGATAGACTCAGAGTCATCCAGTTGGTTTGGAGCTATAGCAGGACTGGAACTCACAGTCTCCTTGCTTCTAGTCTGATGCTTTTAACTACTGGACCAGATTGGATCTTTTCTTATATAAAGAAAGAAAATTGTATGTCTCATAGCAAGCAATGTTAGTGGTTTATTTTGGTTTAAAAAGTGTCATAAGATAGAAGCAGCTAAAATATTTCAACAAATAGAAATGAATACTATTTCTGACTTAAAACATTTTGTGTGGATTTTTACATTTGCTTCAAGAGCTAGGGGTATACGATGGCTGCATAGGATACCTTTTCACTTGGGGGATAATAATCATATCATTTTGGCCATATAGCTAAGGACGGGGTTTAGATGAAGCAAAAAAACTTCAATAAAACAGATGCTTAGTGTATCAATTTCTGTATATAAACCTGACAAAGTGACAAGATGCAACACTGAATAGCATTTTAAAGGAGACTGTATATTAATGATGTGCCAAGAGTATCAAGCCATATGTAGTTGGCCTCATATTTTGGAAGGCTGTTTCTGATTCATAATATGTTTGTTTTTTTTCACCATGTGTGTCACCATGCATGTACATTCACCATGCATGTACATTTTATAGTAACATTTTGTTTTTGACCATAGGGAGAGGTTGATGTTCCTCTTGAAGTTGCTTTTGCTGCAGTTGCTGAACACTTGGCCTATATCTCTGCAGTTTGTGAGGTAACTAGTTCTATAAGGAGCCAAAATGCTATTCGGACAAAAAAGGGTGATGGGTTTTTCTGTGGGCTAAATTTAGGCTTGGCTTTTTCTTAGTGAAAGCTTAGTCTGTGTTCCCATTCACAGAAAAGGCTGAGACCCAGGAGAGGCCCTTGAAAGAGGGAAGGCAAAAGTTGTTTTTAATTATTTCACCTCTAGCCTCTGTAGCATCTTCCACCTTGTCCCAAACATTCTTAAACCCTTCAGAACAGATTTCTGACTTACTGTATGCTGAAAAGACTGGTGCTCTTGACTCAACCCTTTGAGAATCTAATACGAGCAACTACAATCCCAACCAATTACAATTACTTTAATTTCTCAGAAAATCAGGATGTATTATGTTAAACTATAACTTGTGAAATAAAATAACACAATCTTTTCTTGGGGACAAACTTCTACTAGCTGTATTAGAAAATTCATTGCTTGGAAGAAAATGCAGGATATAAATATATTTTATTTTGCATTACACATTATTTCATGTGAGATACAAGAGCCTAGAACCTATGTTTAGTTTTGGTATCCTATTCACTTTGCTTCCAGAAAAGTTTTAACAGTTGCTGCCCACACACTTTCAGGCCCCGCTTTAAGCATTTTTAAGGCCTTGATGTAGCTGGTTTTAATTGCATTTCCTATCTGTTCCATCATTCCAGCATTTAAACTGCATATATGTGTATTCAAGATGATAGATAGATAGATAGATAGATAGACAGACAGACAGACAGACAGACAGACAGACAGACAGACAGACAGACAATCAGTCCAGAGATAATGGATCATTATTCTCATTTCAAGAAGAATAATCCAGCACTGTAGAGTAGGATGCATTTCTGGTTTAAGATTCACTTTGGCGAGGTGGGTGGCATATAATTAAGTAAATAAATAAACAAGCTTATTTTCCATTTGCTGTTCTGAAGGCAGAAAGTAGAAGCAGAGCATTTTCCAAGGAGACTGTTGCTCACCAGGTCTCAATAGGACAAGTCTGGCTTCGAGCATTAAAACAACAACATGGATTTAAATGGAGGGGTGAATGTGGAGGGTTGCATTGAACCCTACACATACTTTAAGTTGTTTCATCCCTTTTTCATCCACAACTTTCCTCTAGGATTACTACTGTTCAGTACCACCATTTCAGTTTGATGAGAATGAAATTGAACATATTTTTCGCTACCACAGCAGGGAAGCATCTCAAAACTTGCTAAGAGCATTTGAAGATGAGGTAAGTGTGCTGAATGTTGCTTTCCACAAAGGTAGAATTGTTTTGTTCAAGGGCAATGGAACTTTCCATGTATTCTCTTTAGCCAGGATTTTAAAAACTAGAATTGGGTGAATGAATCATTGGGCCTTCTGTCATATAATGTCACATTTTTCTTTCTTTAGAAATTATGAGGGAGGTCAGAGAGGTATTGCTGTGCATTGTTTTTGCAAAATTATGCTTGTCCCCAAATCTTGATGGATGTCCTTGACACCTTCAGGCATTTACTGCTGCATAGTGTTATTTATGATTTGGGAAAGATGATGGCTGATATATAGCCTGAATTTAGTCACTTCCAGACTTGAAAACTATAATGTGTTCTCTCTAGGAAAAGAAAAATGCTCCAATAGTGAAAAAGCAAAATGTTTCAGGAGTGGAAAAGCCTGAGCGTCACAAAATTACTTTTAGTGAACCAACTGCTGTAATTCCAGCTCAGCCATCTGTATCAGAAGCAAGTATCAAGTTGCATTAAATTGCATGATGGGGATGGGGAATCTATGGCCATCTGGATATTGCTAAGTCATATTTTCTAATGTTCCTTGCAATTAGGCATGCGGACTAGAGTCATAGAACGGCTAGAAGGGAGCTTGGAGATCAGCTCCCTGCCCAAGGCAAAAGTCCTTATGCCATCCTGGAAAAATGATTGTCCAATCTTTTCTTGAAAACCTCCAGTGATGGAGCATCCACTTATCCCTATGACTAGAATTACTGAGAGCTGGATTGTTAAGGCTATTGCATTTTGCATTTTCTGTATAGTTCATTACCAGTTTATATCTGTCCACAAAATGGCAGATACAATAATTGCACAGACACAAATGCACACACACCAAGGCAAACTTTCAAAATCAAGAGAAGAGAGGGAGGAAACCTTGTATTTTTTCAATAAAAGTCTACTTGCAAGGTATTGAATATCATGCTATAAAGTATACGGATTGAAAGATTTCTTGAAATAACCATGTCACATTTATGTGACACAATGGATTGGAATATAACATAATAGATTTGAGACTGAAAACTCAGCACTGTACTTACCAGGACAGCTGCTGCCTTAATCTCTGATAAACTGTTACTATCTTTCTCCAGTTGATTTTAACTATAACGTATTTCAGCTCAGATAGATTGATCAGTAGAGTAAATTCTTTTTCACACAATGCTACTAAACTTAATTCATTTGTTTGTTAAGAAAAATCTCCTCCTGATGTAGAAGTTTTTGTGTTTTAAAATTAAAGGGTTTTTTTTGTTCATTGCAGGAGATCCTCATTGACGTGTCACCTGGCTCATACATAATCAATACAACTTCATATGATGACACAATCAAAGAAGCACATCTAGTAAATGTTCAGCCAGGAAAAAGTGTAAATCTGGTTTTTAATTTATCTCCTTCTAAAGGCAATTAAAATCAATTTCAATGTCTGAAGTGTCATCTTTTCATAGTATTCTCCTCTACCTTACTTTTTAACTGTTATAGCTTGAACTTGATTAACATTTGCTGCAATTTGAATCATGAATGTATTTTTACTTTTGTGCAATGTGATTGCTTGTACCTAATAAATTGTGAGAATGATATTGCTTTCTTACAAACATTTGAGTCTGCTCTGTGTTTTGTTCACCTAAAATTCTGGCACTTTTGGAGTAGAGTAGGGAAAAGTAATTTTATTTTGCTTCTCTGTAGATAGAACAAACAGTACATTCTGGCTAAAGAGAAATGACTAAATCCATTATACTCATCAGCATCAAATGCTTAGTACAAAGCCTTTTGGCTAAGAACATATTGATCTGATTCCCTTTTATTCTTTTTTGTGCCATGACTAGTCTCAAATTTTAAAAAACCAGTTACTTCAAAATCTTAGCTTAACCAATCTTAATTTTGGTGTTATTCAGGATTTTGATAGTATGGCAAGAAGAACTTATGAAATAGCTAAGAGAATCTTACAAACAGTGCTACTGTTTAGTGCCATCTTCAATTTCTGAAAGAAAGAGGGAGCAGCAATTCTATACATAATTAACCTCCCCATGATGAGCTAGTAATTCCATGGCTCAAGATTTTCTTCATTGAAAGATGCCTTTGACGAGACTGTTCAATGGTTTCAAAAATAGCACTGTGGTTGTACAGAATTGGTGGAAATCCATTTGTGGATGAAATGGCTTTGTTGCCAGCTCTTTCTTTTCTGCAGCTGCCACTGACAATGTTGGCTCCTATAGACGATATTATAACAATTATATACTGAAAGGTTGAAATAGAAACTTGACCCTACAAAATGTCAGAAATCCACAAGCAGAGTATCGGAGATCCATGAGGAAGACTCAGTAGATGAGCCCTGAAAATACTAATGTGATTTGTAATTTAGCATAATGTGTAAACTCAGCCAAATTACTAGTTCTGTTTAAGTACTATAATGCCTAGAAAAGATAGTTATCCCCCCTATGAATCTGCTTTAGCTTGATTGGTTATTAACATGAAATAACATTATCGGTAACATTGTTCCCTTGGTGGCATTCTCTTAGAAATAGAAATAATACTTAAACTTATATACCACTTCACAGTGATTTGCAGCCCTCTCTAAGCAGTTTACAGAGTCAGCATTTTGCCCCCAACGTTCTGGGTCCTTATTTTATTGAACGCTAAACTGCTGACAGTCGGGAGTCAGCAAAATTAGCCTGCACTACTGCATTCTAACCACTGTGCCACCAAGGCACATAAATACTTGGCTTTTGTTTGTTAGTTGACTTCAATGACTATTTTCAGTTAAATCATGGGAAACGAAAAATTGTTGTTGACTTCAGTGACTATTTTCAGTGAAATAATGGGAAATGAAAAATTGGTTTAATACTAAACTCTTAGAAGCAATTTTGGCAGAACAGCCTATACCAAAGACCTTTATCACAGACAACACAAAAAAGTTAAAATACGGAATGCATTCCAAAATATGTAGGAGCATGGACTATTGACAGCATGATAATATATAACCACCTAGTAATGACCTGCTTTAATATACCTCTGGATTTAAGTAGGAAATTTGCTGGCATTTGTTAACTTTGTGTATTTTGCATGTATACAGGCAAGGTGAAAACTGACCTCTCTATTGTCACAACAGCCATCTTACAAATTGCATTGTTGGAAACCTTATCTATGGTTTGGCTTTGAGATCCTTTTCCTAATGCAATGAAAATCAATTCTGAGTTGTCAGCTGAAGACAGTTTTATGGAGCTCCTTCCAAACTTAGTCAAAGGATCAGAAGTGGCTTTTGCAAAGAAAAATACGCCATGGCTGGAATACTATCTTCCAATTGTGAACAGAGAGTCGGCAAACCCCCAGCATAAAGATTTAAAGGATGTGTATGGGTGATATTGTGTTCAACTCACTTCTGACCTATCAAATGGCTGTCTGCACTTCCCTTTTAAGGGGCCATTTTTAGCTTTTCCCAGAACAAGCCATTCTGGTTCAAGTGCATCCTACCAAGGTAAATTGGGGTGAGGGTGGCCTTGCTCCTATTGGTTAATTGAGACTGCACACCTTCCCCCAACCCTTGCCAGTTGATTTTTCAGGGCTACCCACTTTTAGCAGTAGATTTCTGGCTATCCTATTTTTCTTTTCAAATCAAGAGTGGCAGAAAAAAGTCATCTTAATTCTGGTTTCTCTCAGAGAGCAAGGGAAGTGGGATGAAAATGGCTTTTCAGCCAGGGCCCCTGCAGTAACTTTAAGCTCTTCCCCCCCAATAGTACAGGTGCCTTCCTTCCCATTCTTCCTCCACTGTGGAAGAAGCTAAGCTGTGGGAGAGGACAACTGAACAGTGGGAGAACTATGGGGACAAAATTCACTGGGAAATGGCTTTTCCATGGGCTTCTATAACCAGTCCCCTCACAGTAAAGCCTTCTACAGGTTTATTACTGGGATGCTGTCTGAAAAAATTGTTTCCAGCCTCTTCCTTCCCCAGTGAGAAAGGAAATGGAGCATGTAGCTCTTTTTGATGCCAGGAGAACTAATGCAAAGAAAACTCACTTTGCTGCCTGACCGCCGCTTCTCTTGTTAAGCATGATTGGCAGAAGAAATCTGAAGTGGGCAAGAGGAGCAGGGGAGAAGGACTCCATGGGATTGGAGAACTGGCAGCAGGAGCCCCATGGATCTTCTTTTAGTAGCTAGCACCAGAAGCAATGGTCCCCATCCCAGTTCTCTCTTCCCTCCACTTATGGATCAGATGAAATTCCTATTCTCTTTACTGAATAGGCACTGAAAGTCCAGTCAGCACACTTCTTAGGGTGGCATGAGTTTTGCCAATTCCTGCACAAAATGTCACCACTTTACAGCTGCCATGTAAAAGTGCCCTCCATCATCATAAAAAATATTTTGTCTTTTTCCTGCTGAAGTGGACTCATAAACTAGATGTTATACATGGTTGATCACTCCTTATCCTCCAAATAAGTTATTCCTGAAAACTAACCAAGCTAGTATAAGTGGTTATTTGCCCTTTCTCAAAGATGAAATTAGATATGAAAGTGTCTATAATTGAGTACTTCGTTTCCATTAACATTGTAATATTTATAAAAGTGTCTGGTTTGCAGGCCAAGTCTGGAGAATCCACAATCTTTGAGATGATACTTTATGGCACTTCCAAGCATCTTTTGCCAGTGTGATCTACAGTAAATTGCATCAAACAACATCTATTAGATGCAAACAATGTCTCCCCCCACCCCGTTATAGTATCTGTATAAAGGCAAAAGACAAGTTTAACATACTAAATCTGTGCCAACTTGCAGAGTGAACCATCATTAATTAATATACACTCATATGAGACAGTGACTGGGTTTTACACATAATGTTAAGAAATCAAGGCTAAGTCATGATAGTTTGATTTAAACAACACACCAAGCCATAGTATAGTTGGGTTGAGATATTTGAATAACCCATTGTGTGGCCTGATTTTCACCCTGTATGTAAAACCAACAGGTTCAAGATATCTACTGGAGATCAATCAAGGGAGATCTTGTGTACCTTGGCTTTTATAAACGAAGGTGGGTTGGTTTTTCTTCCAGTACTTCCACTCTGGTCTTCTGGTTTCCTGTAGGGTGAGGTTTTCAAAAAGACTAGAATCTGTGTTCACGGCACGATCTACCATTGTGCTCTCAGTCCTACTTTTTTCCCTTTCACATTGAGATTCTGAGGAGGATGAGGAAGAACTGGACAGCACAGCAGCAGGTTCTGCTTCGGGAGAGGCTTCTATTGCTAAGAATGGTGGTGTAGGCTTAGTAGTGAATTCTTTTTCAAAATCTCCAGAGGTTAAATTGGCTAAAGAGGGTCGTGTCCACCAACCATTGTGTTCAGAGCAGCAGCGGCAACAACAGGAGACACATTGCCTGGGCCTAGGCAATAAGCATGTATGATGAAAACCACTACAGCAAGGACGGATAAAACAGCAACGTTTGCACCAGCACCTTTGGAAATCACCCAAAGCACAAGTTGGAATAGTTCCATGTGAGTAATTGTAGTAGCCAGGCCTGTGAAGCTGCCCCTCAAACTGCTTCCTGCTTGTGTAGGGCATATGGATCCTCTCTACAATTCTCTCCCACTGCACTGGAGAAATCCACAAAGCAAGACCTAATGGAACTTTGGCTTTCTTGCCATTCCAAAAACTGACGGTCATTTGCTCGTCTTCTTTTTCTGTTGAAAAGAATATATTAAATGTTTGTTTAAAAATGCCAAGCATGTATTCTTAACAATTGACCTTGTTGCTATACCAAGGTGTTTTTTTCCTCATACTTAACTATTCCATCTTATTTGTGGGAAAGGATTTTTTAAGCAGATAAGAGAAAAAAAACCTCTCACTTAGCATGACGGATGGTGTGTTGGCATTAGATGTAGTCACAAGGTAGGTAAAGGATATGTATTTTATTTTCACAGAACAATAACTTCTCCATCGACACTACAGCCTTATTGGCTTCACATCTCATGGTAAGGCATCAATGAAGTCTTTCATGGGTTTTTCACATCAAAAATTGGCTGCCTCGGGGACTGCAGAGTAATGAAAAATTGCCAAAACTCCACCATTCTCCATCATTTCACAAAAATTAAATTAAATCTAAAATCCCATCTCAAAATATTTTCAAGTATGCCAAGAAAAAAAAAATAGAAGAACATATGCATTTTTCAAATGGGAAGAAAATTGGGAAATCAAAAGAAAGATTCCAGTCTGAACCTAATTCATTTAAATTGTACTTGCAGAATATGCCAAGTCAAAAAGCCCTATTGAAGCTATTAATCTGTGTAGGTTACAAAATCTGATTTCTGCAAATACTGCAATTCCAAACTGGCAGCTCTTTCAATTTTAGCAGACACAGTGAGCCTCAAACCTCGGTTAAAATGCAATATGTAGTGTGGGGGGAAAGAGATGAGGACACATATGCTCAGTAACAGAGCTTTTTGGCTTAGTCACTATCTTTAATTATGCTTTATGCCCACTCAGATGGCTGCAAAGAGCTGCCTCCATATTCTCCCTAGGTGGCATTTTGTGAAGAGCAAGTACTACAATACAACTTTGCACCAGATGCAGACTTAACAAAACATATCAAGAAAAAATGAAACTTTCAAAGGTTGTTATACAGTTGTACCAGAGGTGGTATTCAGCAGGTTCTGACCAGTTCTGGAGAATCAGTAGTGGAAATTTTGAGTAGTTCGGAGAACTGGCAAATACCACCTCTGACTGGAGATTTTACAGTATCCTTCCCCTGCCATGGCCACCAAGCCACGGCCACAGAACCGGTAGTAAAACAAAAATGGAATCCCACCACTGAGTTGTACATATTTGGATCAATTCATTTTTTTTTTTGTCTTTCGTTCAGACATAAAATTATTTTTCAAGTTTGCAACGAGCTGCTTTCCCATTTCACCAAATGATGCCTAGATAGAATCATAAATGGCTGGCCCTTGTCACAATCAAAAAGCTCTTTCTAGCTCCTTGTAGAGCAGAGATTCAGAACTATTTAAAATGCTAAACAATATGCATAGTTCTATTATTTTTATTTCTTTCTGCATGTGCCTTTGGCTGCAGAAAGCTGCTCCCACATACTGCATGGTCTACATGTAGGCAGGGGTGGGACTCTACAGGTTCGCACCTATTCGCTAGAACCGGTTAACATTCTAAGCAGTGCGGAAAACCGGTTGTTAGAAGAAATTACCGGCCTAATCCTGTAAGGAAGGCAGGAAGGAAACATTCTGGGGTTGCTTACAGAAACTGCCTCTCCGTTAACCCTTAATACAATCTTGGCAGGACTAGACTTCCTGTCTCAGGAACTTCTCTGGAGTTTTTTTCCCCTCCTTTGCTGGTACTTTGCCTGTGTGGAGTGACCATTCAAAGTTACAATGGCACTGAAAAAAGTGACCTATGACCATTTTTCACACTTACAACTGTTGCAGCATCCCCACAGTCATGAGAGGCCAGGCGAGGAGATGCGTGCCTCGATGTGAGTGATATTGAGTTGGCCACGCCCAGCCACTAACATGACCACCAAGCCACGCCCACCAACTTAACCACGCCCACAGAACCGGTTGTTAAAAATTTGAATCCCACCCCTGCTGCAAAGGAACATTTTCAGAAAAGCTATAAAGGGCTATGATATCAAAGATCTAATCATAAATGCTAACTATATTTCAGAGCTGATGAAGGACAATTTAGCAATGTGTGAATGTTCACTCTTGCTACTCTGAAGTCAATAAAGCAAATTCAATTAGAGCCTCTTATTTATTATCCATGAAAAAACCCATCCACAAGGCAATCTCCACAGTGACTTTTGCGAGCTATTTCTTGTAAATATGTGTAGAAGAATTGATTCTGCCACAGAAACAGGTAAATTACCTAGTGTGATGCAACTTAATGAAAGATAAAAAACCGTGTTATTAGGATATCAATTTAGAATTAGGAAATCAATTTAGAATTCCCAGCAGGAGAAGAGATAGTGCAGCAGCCTCAACAAGAGGAAACGGTGATCCATGACAGGAAAAGGGTACCTGCGTCAGAAGGAGTATAGATGCTGAGTCACGGGTAAGGTTTTCAGAAGATCCAAAGAGATGTCACTGAAAAGTCTTTCCCTTCAAGTCAAGAAGGAGGACACCCAAACCCTCCTCACAGCACGACACTGAGAAAATGCCAGATGCTAAAGCACAAACATAGCTACTAACCATAAGAGAAAAAACTTATGTGAAGGGATAGTAGTCATGAACAGGTGCACACACCTATGGGAAGGGGGTTGGAACATCAATTTGGGTGTATATAATCTCACAGGAGACAGTTGGAGTAAAAGTTAGTGTAGTGTTTCCGTTCTTTGACATGTCCTCTTCAGTTAGACTGGTATGCTCATGGCTAACCCAGTTGCTGTTCCTGCTCTTTTCCCTCCATAAATCTTTTCTCCCTTCTTTGGTAGGTACCATTCTAGGTTCCATGAGGTCTAGTGAACTATATGGCCTTTCATTCTTTGACTAGATCCATATGCAGCTAGATGAGGTTTTTAAACTTTCTATCTCAACGCAATATCCTAATAAAGATTTTCTTCTTTTTAAAAGAGAAACACCAGCCTATTTTTATTTCCATTGGCAAACACAGCCTAAAGCTGTATTTTTTTTTCTTTTAAAGACACTATAATCCTTTGTATTTGGGTGGAGTTGGGGTGACTGAATGGAGCTGAGCATTTATTGGTTGGATGCCCTTCCTAATACCTATGCTGAGTTCACAGAAGTTATTTTCCCCTTGCACTCAGAAATATCAGCCATACCTAGAATCGAACCTACAGCTTCCTGATTGTGAGTTCCATCCCTAGACTACCATGTCTCTATTAAAGCTATCCCCAAGTTTATGGCAAGATAATTTCAATTTTACCTCGCAGAGGTTCTCTGGTCTCCATGCCCTGGAGGACAGTTCCTGGCCCGTACCTCTTCTGCTCTGGTTCCCAGGGGGCCATCACTTTATCACCTGGCAGGATAGAATGTCTCATTCCATTCACACATTCAAGGATATCACTGCTGGCTGTTTTTTGCAAATAAGGTGCATCTTGCCCCATTGCAAATTGTACCAGAAATGATCTTTGCTCACTTCCCTAATAGAAAGAGAAAAAATGTTTTTAAAAATGGCACAAATAATTGGAAATAGTTCCTATTGATAACTTAGAACACTTCTTTTTGAAAAAGTAAACCAGTTCAAGGGAGGAAATAACACCCCCCCCAACTTAATTGTTAGTTGGATTTCTCTTTGAATGTTTGACATTTTGTGCATAACACAAGAAATAATATATTTTAAGCTGAAAATGTTAAATGGAGAATCTATTACCAATCAGCCATTCTTTAACTGCAAACTGATTTTTTTTAAATAAATAAGAAAAACTATTTTGCAATGATTATCGTCCCTCTTTGGATCAGTCTTAGCCAGGGGTGGGATCCGACAGGGTTAACTACCAGTTCGGTGATTTACGATATGCTTCCCTGCATGTGTGTGTAAATCTTTGTCTGCTTGCTGCCTGGACAGCTGAGCAGCACTGCGTGCAGGGAAGCAGCGTTTGAAAAAGCACTTTTTTCCTGCTTTTTCAACCGCAGCTGTGCCTCCCACAGCAGCTGAGGTTGAAAAAGCAGGAAATAAAGGTCAAGTAAGAGCCTGGGC